TCCGAGTCATTGCCATTTCCAAAGTCAGCGTCGCCTCACTTGGCGTCTAGAGGGTCGCCGTTTCCACCCTCACCGCCGCCTCCCTCGCCGCCCCCACCCTCGCCGCCCCCACCCTCGCCTCCACCGTTTCCCCCACCGCTACCCCCTCTAAATCCTGGCGAGTCTCTTTCTGGCAGCATTTCCTTCCAACTTGACCTCGGCGCTCGCTCCCGCTTACGACACGCTCGATCGCTATCAGGCACGCTCGATCTTCCACAGGTTGAACGTGCCATCATTGAGGCCCTTTCGGTGCAGGGCTTTGCCTACTCGCCTACTCAATTTCTAGCTCTTCATGACAATGGCGATGGCCACACGGTGACGATTACCGTCAAGCTAGATGCTATCGATACAGAAGCGGTCAGGGCGGCGATGATTCCAGCTTTTGCCGCGTCCGGCGTGACCGTTGCCCGGACGGATATCGTTGCTCTGGTTGACAATCACGACGGCACGGCGAGTGCGAGCGTGATAGAGAGCGCGGGAGCTTCAGCAGAAGCAATCACAGCCGCGGCTTCTCTCGACTCCTTCTTGGCCTCATTGACCTCCGCTTTGAAAGTGGACGTCACCTTTGCATCGCCACCCGAGACGGCGAGAATATTCGTACTGCCTTCACGCTGATGTTTTGTGAAGGTTTCTCGTTGTATTGTTTTAGGAGTCAAGGTAGTAAGGTAAGGTAAACACGTCTCCACACACACAAAGTGGTGGGGCAAGGGGGGGCGACCCTCGCATCTCCACACCCGGACACGGGCAAAAGCCCCACGGCATTCAAAGTGCAAGCACCGGCCCGGTGCCCTCCCTCCCAGACACAGGACCCGCACACAACCCTCACAGCGTGGACGTCTACGTGTTCAGAAACACCACGCAGCGAGGCGAGGATGAAGGGGTAAGGGGCTGTATGTGGGGCAGAATCGTCATCTGACTACTCCATCTAGCCTGGGGGGTCGCAGGAAGGGGGGGGGGGGGGGAGAAGGGGTAAGGTATGGGTGAGGCCAGCTAGTCGGACACCCTCCCGTCGTCGGAATACTCCTCGGAGCGGTCGGCGTCCTCGTCGTCGTTCTCGCCCGACGCGGAGGTCGGGCGAGAGGTCTGCATCGCCTCGCCAGCCTTGAACCTGAACACGGCGTCGGCCGGCGCCGAGGGGCCGGCGGCCATCATCAGGTGCATGACCATTTGGTCGCGGCATGCCGCATCAATCTTGCCGCGCCCGGCCAGCTCGTTCGCGAGCGACCGTCGTCGCCACGGTCCGTCTTACACCTTGCTGGGGCCGCGTCGATACCCGTCGTCCCTCTCCGGGGGCAGGAAGTATTCGACCCCGATTTTGGACCCGGCCTGGCTGCGCGTCTGCGCGGCTGCAGTCCGCAGCCCGGCCACCACGTACTGGATGTTCTCGCGCAGCTGCGCGCGCGGGCGCTCCGCGCGCTCGGCCTCGCTCGCGGCCTCCTTCGCCCGGCGCTCCTTCTGCCGGGTCTTCTTATCCTTGCGTGCCGCGGCCTTTGCCGCGAGCTGTGCTCCTTGGTGAGCTCCTTCTTCTTCGGCGCGGTGCGCTCGACGTACGAGCGCTCCGCCGCCTGCACCGACTCGCGGTCGCCCCCGCGGCCTTCTCGTGCTTCAAGTCGACCTCGATGGTCGCGTAGCCAGGCCTTATCACCCTGACCTGCGACGCACCTGCGACCCTTGCGATCATCACCGCGTCCTCCAGTTGCGCGCGCGATCGGAGCTATTCCAGCGTCTGCTGCGCATCCCTGGCAGCACGACGGTCGGTGGCCGGCGCTTGCGCACCAGCCCCGTCCGCCACCGGTTCCGCGGCCGCGGTCCCTGTCATAGCTACGCGCGCCATGGATCGGCGACTCCGAAAGACCAACTACGAGAGTCAGTGCACACAAACCTCAACCGCTCGAAAACCACAACCACGAGAGAGGACAAGAGGACAAGTGACAAGTCAAGATGTGCACAACTCTAGCCGATACGTTCTCGAGAAGTTCACTAGTCACTAGGACACTTTATGATTCACACTACACACTTCTGTATAAAGCCGTTATGGAACGAGATTCTCTATGGCGTATGGGACCTCCGGCCCACACGTGCCCCGCGCGCCGGGGAGATCTTCATTCTTGTGTTTTGTTCTCTCACTTATCTCTGTATTACTGGGCTGGGTTTTTAGGCATTGTGGGGTTGGCACTCCCATCGACCCTCATGACCTCCTGCGGTCTCTGAGATGGACACCAGTAGGTGTGGGACCATAGCCAGGGTACACTCGAAGGCTGGGTAAGCAGTAGAGGTCGATACTCGACGCGTCCCACATGGTCTGTGTCGCTGTCGGCACGCTGTCGACAGGACGTCGAGCGACACCGGTGGCAGTGCCACCCAGGAGTGGTCGGGCGGTCTCCCGTCATGAGAGAGCCACCATGTGATCCGTATGATGATTCCTGACAACCGCCTCAGTCAACTTTCATCACAGTTCCCGCTCTGAGAGGAGCTGCGGGTCAGTTCGACAGCTGGAGCTGCGTCGCCGGCGTGCAGCGGCCTGCCTCCGGAGGTGCCTCTGAGGTGGACATTTTTTGGTCACCGCGAGAGAACGCGTTCGAATTTTTACTCCGGAACTTCAACTCTGCACGCGCACCGGCCAGGGCTACAATAGTGCCAGTGAGGCGGAGGCGCGAGTCGGAAGGCCGCGACCGTCAAGTGTTCCCCCAATTTTCCTACCTACCCCGGTGGGTACAATCGCTGTGAACCCAGCCACGTAATCTAGATAACCTTTTATTACAATTTAGATACGGGGGCCCCCGGGAATGAAGCGCGTTTCAGGGCGCGCCTCTATTTTTATGCCACAAGAAACTTGTGCGAAAGACGAATTGCTCTCTGGCACTCTGGGGGGTGCACCCCTGCCCGTGCCGCCCCACGTTCTCACCACCTCATCCCCGCATCTTCGATCTTGGCCGCACAGCCCTCCCACCCCTCACCCCCCACACCACCGCCCCAGCCCCACCCGCCTCACTGCGTGCGCGGCCCGTCGTTGCTGCCACCGATCGGGCCGTGGTTGATGATGGGTGTGCCGTTGGCCGAGCGCTGGATGCCGTCTGCCTCGTCGATCCGCTTCTGCCACAGTGGCCGGTTGTCCTCCACCTCCTCGACCGCCCCCTCCGCCGCCGCCTGCTCCGCCTCCTGCTCGGCCCACTTTGGGTCCACCTCCACCGCCTCTGCCGCCAGCCGCGCGAGCTCGGCACGCATCGCCTCGGCATCGACGCGGCAATAGACCCGCCGGCCGCCTCCGGGAGCGCGCGCGACGCGGATCTCGCTGCCGACGTGCGCGCAGTTCCACCGGTTCGGCGGGAGGGCCTCCTCGGCGCCGTCGCGCTGCGTGTAAATCTCGACAATCCTCAGCCCGCCCAGCGGGTCGGCGTCGACGTGGAAGCCGCCCTTGACCGTCGTGGAGAAGGCGCGCCCCACCCTGCTGTCGGCCACGACCTCGCACGTCTCCATGAAAGTTGCCGGCTTGCCGGTGAGGACGTCCATCGGGTCCGGCTTGGAGAAGGTCTGGAAGTGGCCACAGAGCGACAGGTGCGGCGCCGAGGCGCCCGCCGTCACCCCCTCCCTCATCGCGGCGTCAGCCTCGGGCGCAAGCAGCAGCTTCCAGCAGCCAATCAGCTGCTCGCGCACCGCCGCCGGCCCGAGCAGCTCGGCCGCCGAGCCAGCCTGAGGAGGGGAGACGGGGCGCGCACGGGGTGGAGCGGACGGGCGCGGCGCGGGACGGACGGCGGCACTCGCCCGCTCAGGGATCTCCAGGCATGTGCGGCTGTGCGGTGTGAGTGGGGCTCTCCGCGCGCGCGCCTCCATGCGCTCGAGCTCCTCCTCCAGCGCAACTTTGGCCTCGGGCTGGTCGATGGACTCCCAGCTCGCGAGGTCAGCCGCGAACAGGTGCTCCCACCGCACGCGGGGCGGCTCGGCCGGCGCCTCCACCTCCTCGGCAGTGACTGCGACCGCCTCCTCGGCCGGCTCTGCCACCACAGCCTCCGCAGCGCACAGCCGTACGGTGGCGCGAGGCGAGGCCAGCGGAGGGCGTCCAATCAGGAGAGAGGCGGACGAGAGAACGAGAGCGAGCATGTACACACACGTGCTTGCGGGAGCTTGTGCGGGCTGCAGATCGACATTCTCGATTTTCTTTTTTGTTGGATTACTACCGCGGACCCGCCTTGCGAGTTGCAGACCCGGAGGAGGCCGACCCAGCTCACCCCCAGAGAGGCCATGCCCAGGGTCAACCATGAGAGGGGGGGCCGTTTCCGTCCGTCCAGTTCTGGCCAACCGTAACCACTATGTGGTGTGATTTCGAGGATAATTCGGCGTCGCGAGCTCGCGACGCCCCGTTTTCGGGCTCCGGGGGCGCGGGGTGGGCACCGTAGGCGGCGGGCGGACGGGCGGGCCGGGCGGCGAACTGGGCCGGCCGTGGGGCGCGAAAACCATGCAAAACGCGTATTTGGTGCGAGCAAAAAAGTTCGCCGTTTTTCTCCGCCGTCTCAGATCTGCGCCGTTATACACCGCAGCGCCGCCGGCGCAGATGTGCGCGCCGCCGGCGCAGATTTGGGGCCCCACACGCTCAACCCAGACGCTCATGAGTCTCTCGCGCTGGCCGATCTGCAGCGCCTCTGCGCGGCAAAAAGCCATCCGACCAACCCAACCACGCGGGCACCCCTCCTGAGGTGCGAGCCATGATGCTCAACCCAGCGTGCACCAAGTCGCTCACATTCCGTGAGTTCGTCAACGGGCCGAACGTCTCCAATTCGACTGCGATATCGAACTCCGACAACTGGACCGGTGCACCAGCCGCGGAGGACTTTGGCTCCCTCGATGGCATCCCTTCATCGACGGACGCCTTCACCGCCGCCGGCCCTGGGTCATTCATCGCGGCCTCCGACTGGCTGCCGCAGCTCGCACCCTAATCTATCTGCCTTAGGCACGGAGCCAACGGAGCCATCGCGCACGCCCGCATCGTGTGCGGCTCCGAGGTCTCCCGCCGAGACCGGCTCGGCGCGGCTTTGACTGACGTGAGTCGTGACTGACTGATGAGTGCTTGCGATGGATGATCTTATTCTAGGCCACCCCGAGACCGACCCAAGACTGACCCGAGACCCGAGATCGACCCGAGATCGACCCGAGATCGACCCGAGATCGACCCGAGATTGACCGATCGACCTGATATCGACCCGAGATCGACCCGAGATTGGACACGAGCGATCCACCCAACAATCTATGCCCCAAAAGCCCCCTGCGGGGGGAACCCCCTCACCCCGAGTGTCCGTGTCCTTCGTGAGTCACCGATGGGGAGCGGGGGGGGGGGTGCGAGATGCACAGGGGAGGCTGGGGAGGGGGGGGGTCATGGGGGGGGTCCACTCTGAAGACTGCCGACCGCGGGGGGGTTTCTCCCACAGGGTTTTCACCCTCCGCGTGAGGATCGGCGCGGCGAGGGGGTAGGTTCGAATTCGCCGCGCAACATTTCACCCCCACAGGACCTCGCCCACCCCCCCTCATGGTCCCACCTAGCACCCAAACGAGCCTTCGCACCCTCTCCTTGCGTGGTGTCCCCCGCAGGCCCGCTATGTGTCGCCGTCTTCGGGGCACGCTATCCTGTGCAGTCAGGGCAAGTGGGGGCGGGGGGCAGTCCCTTTGACGTATGTATCTCTGGGTTCTGTCTCTAGTCTCGGAGGGGGGCTTGAAGCTAAGAATATTTTATTTTATTTTTTTGGGACGTGGCTGCACCCGTGCAGTAAGCTTGCCGTCGAACTGCGGCTGGCGCCCGCGACGATGCTTCGCCCAGGCCGGGCACGATGGTGCCGCGACGAGCGGCGTCGAGGCGACGGCCATCGATGGGTCCAGAAGACTTGGAGACACTTCTCGACCAAAAAATCAAAAAAATCGAGCACAATTGCGTTACATGGGCATGGCCGGGGTTTCTGCACCGAACGATCTTACTTTCGGTCTATCGAAAGTGTTCATCGATAATTTTCTTTCAGTGGGGCATGCAGGATAATTTTCTTTCAGTGGGGCATCGCAGGCAACGATTACGCCTCTAGCCGTGCTGGGTGGCAGCGGCCACGAAGCCGCCGCCGAGCCCGCATACGACCACGTCGACGGCGAGGCGGAGGCGGACAGAGACGAGCCCACATCGCCACGGTCGCCGCGGAAGCGACGCGCCAACGCAGGCCAGAAGCGAGCTAGCTCTTTCTCATTCTCCGACGACTCGCCTACGTCCTCACGCCCCTCCTCGCGTGGCGCAAAGGCCGGCCGAGCGCGGGGCGGACAGGTGAAGCCAGAGCAGAAGCGGCGGCGGTGTGTGGGGTCCGCCGACCAGTTCGCCTATGGGTGGCAGCCACCGCCGCGTCGGGAGCGGGGTTCTCGCTCCCTCGGCGAGCTGGTGGAGGCGGAAGACGCGGCCGCCTTCGCCCTCATATCCGACGCCCCCTCCCCCGCTGCCGCCGCCGGCGGCGGCGGCTATGCCGAAGGCGGGGCGGCACCGCACGGGCGGCCGGCGGCGGAGAAGTCGGAGCTCGACCTCAAGGCGGACGCCGAGGCGCGCGCTGCCGCCGACTCGCTCCGCGAGGAGGCCGTCGAGGAGCTCGACCTCGAGTGGGACGAGTCGCGCCGCGCGATGCTCAAGATTCTGCAGGAGATGTGCTCGCCTCGCCACCTCTCCTTCTCGCGGCCGTTCCTGTCGCCGAGCGAGGCTGCGGCGGCCTCGCCGCCGCTGCTCACGCTGCTGCACGTGCGCGACCGCTTGCTCGCCGGCGAGCTCGGCGACATCTTCGCCTTTGCGTGCGCGGTCCGGCACGTCTTTGCCTCGTGCTACCTCGCGCACGGAAGCCCTCTCAACGGGGGCGCTGTCGCGAGAAAGTGCGAGCGGCTCGACCTCGTCTTCGAGCAGGCGAACCTCGGCGAACCTCGGCGAACCTCGTCGTCGAACCTCGGCGAACCTCCGAACCTCGTCGAACCTCGGCGAACCTCGGCGAACCTCGGCGAACCTCGGCGAACCTCGGCGAACCTCGGCGGTTGAGCCTCTCTCCTCGAGCAGGTCGTGCTGACGCTGCCAAGGCAGGTTCGCGCCCGCGCCTCCGCCGTCGACGCGGACTGCATCGTGCTCGGGCTGCCGCCGCCTGCGCACTCGGACGGAGGCGGCGGCGACGAGGACGGCTGCGATGCGGAGGGGAGACGCCGCTCCTCGCGCGCTCGCATCGAGACGCAGCCGCCGAACACCCTCGCGCTTGTCGAGGCGGAAAAGGCGCGGGAGTCGCCGGGAGCCGGGAGTCGCCAAGGTTTGACCAAGAGTCGCTGAGATGGTTGCACTTGGCGCAAGGCGCGGCAGCGCGCGGCGGCCGACGCGGAGCGGCGCGCGGTGCGCGAGCGGCAGCGCGCGCTGGCGGAGAGTTGGGTCGCATCGCTCGACGCGGCGGCGATCAGCGAGGCCCGTCTTCACCGGGGCGACACGTCCAGGACACGTCCAGTGTCTGTCCGTGACCCGTCCAGCACCCGTCCCTACAGGTGCGCTCGTCCGCCGATTGCGTCGCCGCCGGCCAGTTCCTTGCCTCGTTTGGCGACCACCTCGGCTTGCCGCCCTTCTGTTTGCCTGAGCTCGAGGTGCGCGAGATTCGCCGAGATTCGCCCGAGTTTCGCACGAGATTCGCACGAGATTCGCACGAGATCGAGGCTGGTCTCGTTCCCCCCTCGGACTGGTCTCGCCCGCCGCGTCGCGTCCATTCATTCGTCGAGAGCAATGTTCGCCCCTGCAGGTCGGCCTCGCATGCCTGCCGCGCGTCTCTGCGTACCTGCTGCACGCGTGTGCCGCCCTCCTCCGCCTAGCGCGGCTGCCGCTCTCGCACAGCGTCGACGGCGAGATCGAGCCGAGATCGAGCCGAGATCGAGCCGAGATCGAGTTGATCTCGAGAGAGGGCGCAGGTTGACCTACCCACTTGGCGGCGCGTTCCCCAGGCTCGCGCGCGGCGTCGGTCGAGGAGGTGCTGGCGGGCGCACTCTGCTACTGGGACGGGCAGATGGCACTCGCACGGCGACTCGACGAGTCGGACGAGGCCATCCCGGAGCAGCTCGAGCCGTACCTCGAGGGGGGGGAGCTGCAGGCGAGATCCGCCGAGAGCCTCCGAGATCCGCCGAGATGAGCTCGAGGATGGCTCGTGGACTCCCTGCCGACAACGAGCCCACCTCGAGCAACGAGCCAACCTCGAGCTGCAGGCCATCGTCAGCTCGCTCGGGGACGTACGCGAGGCGGCGCGGACGCTGCGGCGGCGCGAGGGGCGGCGCGGGTTGGCCGAGGCGGGAAGGCACCGTCCGTGAACCTTGTCGGTATCTGCCCCGTAGGCGCGAGGGGCAGAGCGGGCTCGCCGGTCTGCCGCCGGCGATGCGCGGCGCGCTGCTGCGGACCGCTCTCTGCCGCGCGCGGCGATGAGGTAGCCCCGAGCTTTCTCTGGAGCCTTGCTGCAGGCGCGCTGCTACACGCCCTCTGCCACGCGGCGCTGCTCGAGCAGCGCTCCATCGTCTCCGAGGCGGCGAGGCAGGAGGGCGCGAGTGCGGCGGCGCAGGGCGGGGGCCGCGCGCGCTTTCTCGGCCGCGACGCGGCGGGCGCGCACTATTTCCACTTTTCTCCTCTCGAGGAGCGCGTCTACCGGCTGGTGCCCGATCCGCGGGGCGAGGTGCGAGATCAGCCGCGATGACCGAGATCGCCCGAGATCGGCTGTGCGGGGATGCGGATCGAGAGCTGCTACGGGGAGACGGCGCGTCCAAGACACGTCCGCGGCACGCCCACGGCGCGCGGCGCAGGCGTCGGTGCTCGAGCGCGCGGCGGTCACCGAGGGGGAGCACATCGAGGTGGAGGTGGAGGAGGGAGGCGCCGTCCGCGGGGGAGGGGCCTCGTCGGACACGCGACACGTCCATGACATGTCCGAGACACGTCCACAGGCGCCGTCGAGTGGCGGAGGGCCCTCGTCTCGCGCGTGCTCTCCGGCGGCCGAGGGCGCTTCGTCGCAATCGTGTACCACGCCGACGGAAAGACGCTCGACGAAGAGTTTGTCGAGGCCGTGAGACATGCGCCCAGTCTCGGGCCCGGCTGGGGTCCCCTCGGGGCATCTCGGCTCGTCTCGGATAGGTGTTCAGCGAGCGCCAGTGCGGCAAGGAGTGGCGGCTGCCTCCTAAGGGGCGCGGCAAGGCGGCGGCTCAAAAGGGCGGCGCGGGCGGCGGCGCCAAGGCCAAGGCCGCCCCCCCGCCTCCAAAGCCTCCGCCCCCAGCCGGCCGACGATCGGCGCGGGGGGAGGCGGCGGCGGCGGCGGCGGCGGAGGTTGTGGCGGCGGCGGAGGCGGCGGCGGCGGAGGCAGCGGCGGCGGAGGCGGCGGCAGAGACGGCGGCGGCGGCGGCGGACGCCTCGGGCGATGGGGTGACTTTGCAGGCTCCGCCGGCTGCTTCGGCCGCCGGCCCTTCCTTCTCGCTGGTGGACGTGCCGGCGCTGCTCGCTCGGATCGGGAAGCCCCCCGAGGGGAAGGCGGGCAGAGGGCGCGGCAAGGCGGCGCCCGGGCGCGACAAGCGCGACGACGCGCTCTACCTCGCACTCGAGCCGGTCGCGGCGGCGCAGGAGGAGGCGGCGGCCGCTAGATGCCGGAGAGACACCTCGTTGGAGCACTCAGCCACCACCCGTGTCATTCCAGCCGGCGCTCGAGAGGGGGCGCACCATTCCGCCGCCAGCGGCGCTAGTGACTGTACTCGGTAGCCCCCCCTGTCCCTTCACGCGAGGTGCAGGCATGCGCCCTGCACGATCTCTGGTCTCCGCCGCCGGAAGGTCCGTGTGCTGCTGCTGTAGGCTGCGGCTGCCGCGCAGCGGTCCTGGTCGGGCGCGGCGCAGCGGCTCAAGAAGGAGGAGGAGGGAGGGGCGGACAGTGGCGCGGTCGTGCAGCTGGGGAGCGCGCGCGAGGTCGACACCTTCGAGAGGCGCATGGTCGCTTGGCTCGAGGGGGCGCGCGACCGGGCGGAGGCCATGGACAGCGAGGCGGCGGGCGAGTCGGCGAGCGCGGATGGCGCTGGTGTCGGCGCGAAGATCGCCGAGGCGGCGGCGACGAGGATCAGCGGCTGCGGCGGCGATGCGAGCCGAGAGAGCGAGCTCGACGCCGCGCTTTGATCCGACGAGAGACACAGTGGCGCGGCGCCGCCGGCTCTGGCAGCTGGTAGGAGGGAGAGCAGAGAGAGCAGGAGGACGGGGCAGGAGGACGGGCGGGCAAGCGACGCAGCCGGCGGGGGAAGCGAAGGGCGGCTCTCGCCTCTCTCTGCGCGCCTCCACCCCCCACCTGTGGCCCGGGACGGTCTGGTGCGAAATGGAGAGCCCGTCGAAAAAAAAACCCACGCCGCAGGGAAACGAAAAGGGCAAAGAGCGCGCCTTACTCACCCACCACCTCGCGAGGACACCTCTCGAGCATCCGGCGCATCGCGCTCCACGCCACGTCGCGCCGCAGCGCCTCTGCGGGCACCGGCTCGCCCTCCGCCTCGGGGTGCGCCTCTCGCCACGCCGCCTCCTTGCGCTCCAGCGCGGCCGTCAAAGTGGCTCGCATCGCCGCGGCGGGTGGCTGCGCGCCGAAGCCGATCTCGGGCCCGCGCGCGCGCTCGCCCACCTCCCCGCCCGCGGCGGGCGGCGGCTCGTCCTCCCCTCCGATGCGCCGCGCCTTCTTGCTCGTGCGGCCCGCATCGCCCACGTCCGCGTCCTCGGCCGCGTCCGCACCGCGCGCCGCCGCCGCCGCCGCCGCCGCCGCCGCGTCCTGCGCCGGCATCCAGATCTCGTGCCTCCACCGGCATGCGCCGCCGCGGTGGCACTTGCCCAGCTGGTACTTTCGGCAATAGTCGTCCGGGATCGAGCCAAAGAGGTCCGCCGGCGCGGCGCCCACCGCCGGGCGCGTCTTCTGCCAGTCGGGACGGCGCGAGGCGGCCGCCGCGTCCGCAACCTTGACGTGCGCCCACTTGCACGCCGCGCCGCGCGAGCACTTGCCGCGCGCAAAGTCAAAGCACGGCCTGCCCTTGGCGGCGGCCGAGGCGGCGCCGGCGCTGCGGTCCTCGACTGCGCGCACGTTCAGTGTCCGGCCTCCCAGGTCGGACTTGTCCAGCCCGGCGATGGCGGCCTGCTGCGCGTCCGCGTCGGCAAAGCGCACAAAGGCAAAGCCGCGAGGCTTGCCCTCGGCGTCGACGGCATGCGCCGCCTCGAGCGCGTTGCCGTACGGCTTGACGAGCTTGAGCAGGTCCTCGGTGGTGGAGGTGGTCGGGAGGCCGACCACGATCACCTTGTGTAGTTCGCGGGACGAGCGGCCCATCGAGGTAGGTGGGTCGTGACTCGTGGCTGGCGCGCCTAAAAGAATTTTACAAGCACTCCCTCGCACGACACTGGGCACAGGACTGGGCACGGGACTGGCTCGCACTGGCACTAACACAGGTAAAAGAATTGCTGTTGCCGCGTCCTTCATATAGGGTGGATAAAGCGCCTGTTCACGGCATGGAGGGTGAGCCACACCGAACGTACCGAGCGAAGAGCCGAGCGGAAGGAGGACGGGGAAGATGACTCCGAGGAGGACGAACCAGTGCGCAGTGGAAATCCAGTTGTCAGATGTCACGATGCACCCGAAGGGGACCCCAGCGCCGGCATCATCCGTGAAGGCTCAAGTGTTCGAAGAGAGAGTGGACCTGAGCAACGATATGACTGGGTGGCAAATGATCGCAGTGGGCGTCAGAAGACTCGTCCTTGCTCGATCGAGGAGAGCTCGATAGACTCGAGGGGCCAGGATACGCCGCGAGGAGGACGGAGTTGCGCCGAAAGGCGAAAGAAGCCGCGAGAACAAGGGACCGGCAGGCGGCGGCGTCACAGGACGAGGCAGAAGAGAACGACGCGACAGAGGAAGGGAAATGACAAGGGAGAGAACGACGAGAGTGGGACGACCGCGGGGTGGCATGAAGGTTGCAGCGAGAAGCGGCGAGAGACTGCGAAGAGAGATAGGAAGAGGCAGACTCCCTAGGGTGGGCGACGGCTAGCGCACCACACACCTCTCCTTAAAATCCCTGTGTGTGGTGGCGGCGTGCCGTCCTCCCATCCCTCCCTTGGGTTGTCTGTTTTCTTTCTTTCTTTCCTAATCGTCCTTCCAATGATCCTGCTCGTGCAGGTGGGGACCCTGTCCTTCTCCTATACCTATTCCTCGTTTGGCGTGCCCGTTTTATTTATTTATTTAATCGCATTCGTGCTCCAAGTCCCAAGTGCCGCCAGCGCACTGGCACTAACACAAACGCTCTCTTTTATGTCCCACCATGCAGAGCGCATCTCTCTCTCTGTTGTGCGAGGCGTGAAGCGCGCCATTCGCTCTCACCTGGCAACCCTGTCTGCACGTCTCGCGCGCGCGTGAACAGGGCTCCAGCCTCCAGGCCCCACAAATGACGTGTGAGTGTTAGTTAGAGTTGTTTGGTATTGCTAAAAGTCTCTCTCTCTCTCTCTCTAACACATAAATAAATAAATAAAAACGGACACCTCTCTACTGTGAGGTGGGTAAAAAAGAACAGGTCCCCCCCCTTGCGATCTTTGTTCGGTCCAGAGGGCCGGGTAGGAGGGGTCTAGGTTACCTCTACCTCTGAGGGCCTGCGGCCCTCTTACCTTTACCTCTTGGGCAGCCGTGGGCCCTTTACCTCTACCTCTGAAGTAGCCGTGATTTACCTGTGCGTGATCTCGAGTGGGGGATCTCGAGTGATCTCGAGTGATCTCGATGTGATCTCGATACTAAGTTAACGATAGAGCATCTGCGATTTTCACTCGCCGCCGGCGTACGATAGAGCATCTGCGATTTTCACTCGCCGGCTCGTGGAGAAGGAAAAATAAAATGCGCAGACGCACGAGTATTTCTGAGATCAGCTTCGGCGAGTGGCAGACATTTCAAAAAATGGGCGCCGCCAGGCGCCCCGCGCTGCGTGCCCACCATGCTCCATGGCGGTTGGGCGCGCAGCGAGGAAAATTTTGGATCTCGACAGGTGTGTGTTCTTCTTGCTTGGGCGGACCTGATGCCGGGGTAGGTAGGGTAGTTCTGGGCCCTCCCGTCGGGGTTTTCCCTCTCTTCAAGCTGGAATTTTCCCAGCAAAAAAAGAAAATTTCCGCGGAAATCACGATGTCAACCCTCCCCAAATGGGTGATCTGATGCTTGTAGGGCTTGAGAGTGGCCTGCCATGTCACAAGAAGGACTGTGGTTGCAGGAGAGTACCACCAACCACCACTCTAGTTGGTATAGTACCCCACCTTCACCCAGCCCGTGATTTCTTTTTTTAGTTTCCCATAAGTAAGTAAGGTAGGTAGGTAGGTAGGTAGGGGCAGGGAAGAGGCCGGCCGGGGTTTTCCAGAATTTCAGCATCAGGTCCGCCCAAGCAAGAAGAACACACACCTGATCTCGACAGCGTTTTCTAGAAATAAATGGTCTCTCCTCGGCGCCATCCGCTCTTCGGCGCACTGGCACTGCGGAGTTCGCAGCCTGACATGCTGCCTTCCCTTCTACACTTTCAAACACAACGCAGGGCTCAGCTGTCAGTGCCCAGACCAAGTCGATTTGTACCAAAGTTGGTAGACAGTGCCAAAAAACGAGAAACCCTTCGGGTCGCTCCTCATCGCAAACCCTGTCAGCAGAGTCCTCCTACGGGAATGTACGTAAGAGCCACATACACTGAGAGAGAGAGACCTCTCTCTTTTCTCCCAGTAAGCTAAAAATACATAAATTGAAAAACCACAAAATCGAAATGGCTCTTAAACCACGCACCTGGTGTCCGCACTGCCGCATGGTGCGAGCCGCCACTCATAAGAAGGTCTCCGCTGCGATGCTTCTGCTGTCTGCGTCAATGCAGCAACCCATCGAGCGCGTCACTATGACCTGACCCCTCTGATAACCGACGCCGCAAACGGCAAGCCTGCGTCCGTGTTGCATATGCTCTCCAGTCATGTTCGCATTGCGGTGGATGCCAATTCGAGCCACTCGAGCAATCATGCACAATCAATGCGCCGAAGAGCTGAGACGCAGATTCTTTGCACCGGGTCAGCAGGCAGGCAGTGCAAGGTCAAGTGGTCGCGGCACTGGTCATTCGCGATGCGGTAGGCGATGCGATCAGCCGCCGGCAAGCGGCGGTGAAGCCTGGTCCATGGCCGGGCAGGCGCGCCGCAGGCGAAGCGCTCTCGCGGGGCCTTCGCGGGGCCTTGCGTGCGCGTCCGGGGGAGCCCTCAGCAGGGCACGTTCACGCGTACGTTTACCTCCCCTCACGCACGTGGGCTCCGTTTACCTCTACCTCCGGCGGTCTGAGACAGGTTTACCTTTACCTGAGGACCCCCACGCCAGCCCTACCTCTACCTGCGCCCCCGCCCTCCGGGCCGACTTTGTGCAGGGTTCTTTTTGTGTGGGCAGGACACTAAGTAACCCGACACGGGGCTTACTTCGCTTTTACACCACACGGGCGGGCCGATTTCCCGCGGCGCGCGGGATTCGCTCTTTGGCGGGCGATTCGTCCCGCTTCTCGCTCTTTTTTATGTTTACGCATTACGGCAAGGGGAAGCCGCACAAAAGGAAACGGGGGTGGGTAGCTCTATGTACAGCACTGATAGTGTTCGACCAACACGAGGAACGAGCGCCAACGACAGGCTCGCGAGCGCTCTCAAGGGGCTGGGGAGGATGGAGTGAGGGCGGAGAGCTCAACCGGACCGCGACAGAGCGTGAGGAGGCGTGGTGGGCGCGTGGCGTGACGTGGGGCATGCTCCAGAGCAGAATGCGGCGGCGGGCTGGGCGGGAGCGGCGCGAGCAGACCTGCGCGGAGTCGGGCACCCTCCCCGCGGAGGCGCCACGGCGGGCATTGCGCAAATGCGCTGGCGACATGAGCGCCGCCGTCAACCATCCCTCAGAAGGCGACGTACGACTTCTTGCTGTAGCCGAGCTTGTCGAGGTTGGCTATGCACGCAAACTTGATCATGGGCGGCGGGCCGCACCTGCAGGGGTGTCGCGGACGTGTCCTTGAACTGTCTGCCGCCTCTCGGCTAGCCTCGGCTAGTCTCGGCTAGTCTCGGCTAGTCTCGGCTAGTCTCGGCTAGTCTCTCTCGCATGAGGACGAGTGTGTCGTCGGCGGGAGGGGGCAGGTGCTCCGAGATCATCTCCTCGGTGATGAAGCCAGACGAGAACTTCCAGCCGGCGGGCGGCCGGTCGAGCGTGTAGTGCACCTGGGCAGGTCAGCCGAGGTCAGCCGAGGTCAGCCGAGGTCAGCGGAGGTCAGCCGAGGTCAGCCGAGGTCAGCCGAGGTTGCGTGTGCGTGTGCGTGTGCGTGTTGCGCATTCGTGTGTGTGCGTGTGTGCGTGCGGCGGCGGCGCCGCGGCGGCGGCGGCGGCGGCGGCGGCGGCGGCGGCGGCGGCGGCGGCGGCGGCGGCGGCGGCGGCGGCGCTGGGCGGCGGTCGGCGGCGTGAGGTGCGAGCCTTGAGGCGCGAGGCGTGCTTCGCGGCGAGCTCGTCGAGCATGTCGCGGACGAGGATGTCGGACTCTGTCTGGTTGGCGTACAGCAGCGAGATCTGAGTCTTGTCTGACGGGTCTTTGAGGATGGCCGCCATGACCTGCGGCGGCGGCGGCGCGGCTGGGCGTGGAGAGCAGCTGGGTGTCGTCGCGGCGTCGCGGGGAAGGGCGGGAGGAGGGGAGACAGGAGGAGGAGGAGGAGGGTAGGAGAAGGGGTGTGGGGGAGGAGAGGAGAGGGGATAGGAGGAGGAGCGGGTTGGGGGCCGTCGCCTGCAGCATGGGCGTGATGCCGGTCCCGCCCGCCATCATCCCCAGCCGCTTGCAGGCCAGCTCCTTGCTGCCGCTCTTGAACCGGCCGGCCCCGAGGTACTCGTGCATCCCGATCGGCCCTTGGATGTCCATCGTGTCGCCGACCTTGAGCGAGTCCATGTACTGCGGGCGGGCGAGAGCCGGGCCTCGGGCGGGTCGGGCTGGGGCAAGGCTGGGGAGGGGAGCGGCGCGCGGCAGTGCGCGGCGGCGAGGTTGGTTCCAGTAACGCTGTAAATTGCGCGTCTTCTGAACCATCAGCACCGAGGGAGCGCGTCCGGACGGTGTGTGTCGAGGAATCGCAGCCCTCTCGCGGGCGCGGGAGCGGGCCGCGAGAGCGGCAGAAGCTTATCGGAAGTGTCACGCGCCTGTGACATCTTGCCGCCGTCCGGGAAGCGGTCGATCACGCCGCCCTTGTACACCTTGATCACCAGGTCGACGTACCCCACCTCGTCGTCCGACGTCGTCGGCGTGTACTTGCGCTCGATCTCCTTCTCCCCGTCCTCGGGGTCGTCGCGGCCGTTCCACTGGCCGTCGACGACTCCCTTTGGCGCGGGCGCAAAGAGTTTGAAGTGCTTGCCGACGGGTAGGCCGAGCACCGGGGTCGCGTCCGGGAGCACAAAGCGGAACCGCACCGTGTCGTGCGAGATGTTGGTGCGCTCGCCGAGCGTGACCGTCTGCCGCGACTTGTTGAGGAACTTGGCGCCCCGAGGCTTGCCGCCGCCGCCGCCGCGCATCGAGACGAGGAAGACAATGGAGAGGATAACGATGACCGCGGCCACGAGGACCGCAGGCTCCATGTCCATAGCAGCGAAGCCTTCCGAGACGGAGCCGCGCAAAAAGAAATTACGATGGCGCGGCTTGGTTGGTTGGTTGGCCCCCACTCTAGGTTGGTTGGTCCCGACTTCGCGCACTCACATCAAAATGGGTCAAAATGTGGGCTATTTCACGCCTCTTCACACTTCAGGCTCCCAGATCCATCCTATCACCACTGTCCATCCTGAAATTGCGTCAGGAGGGTCACAGTGGCCTGTAGACGCGCTGGGTTGCCAGGGGAACGAAGGATTCCCCCGTTACGACCTTGCGTGTTGAATCGACGCGGAGCGAAGAAGTTTTTTTGACCCGTGGGCACCCCTCTCTGGACTCTGGCAGGAGGACCCTGGCCGGCCCAGGAAGGAGGTTGGTTGGCTGGTCCCGCACTTCTTCGCGCACTCTGCCGTGCCGCCCGGAAACAGTTGGTTGGTTGGTGGGGTCCTTTGCGCAGTGTGCGGTGAAATGGGCTGGCAGCTTTTGGTAATTGATACCCCCCCCCCCCCCCCCCGGGGAAGGTGCGCTGTGGCCTGTGGGTGCGCGCTTCATATAGAGCTCCCCGGCCCTGGGTGTGAGTTGCCACAAAATACACAACAATCAAGCAGTCAATGCCATACGAACTGCTGCTGTCCCGCTGCTGCCACGCGCCTGCTGCCCCCCCTCGCGGCACATACGCAAACACGCGGCGGCGTACCGCGAAGGGCCGGCGCGCATGTGCTGCACGTGCGCCGAGCCCTCAAAGCGGAGCGCGTAGACGGGGCCGTCCTCCTCCTCGTCCTCGGGCTCGCTCTCGCTCCCGCTCTCGCTCCCGCTCTCGCTCCCGCTCTCGCCCTCGTCCGCCACCCCGCCGCCGCCGCCGCCGCCGCCGCCGCCGCCGCCGCCGCCGCCGCCGCCGCCGCCGCCGCCGCCGCCGCCGCCGCCGCCACCGCCGCCGCCATCCGCGCTTTCCCCCGCCTCGAGGCCTCGGAGCAGCGCCGCAGTGCGCTTCTCGCCGAGCCTCTCGGCGACCTGCAGCGGCGTCCGGCCGGCGCCGTTCCGCGCGGCAACGCTGGCGCCCGCGCCTTGCAGCGGCCCAAGCAGCCCGAGCGAGCCGTGCCTAGAGTTTGGACCCGCGGGTATGGACAGAGCATCGTGCATCGCACGCCTGCGTCTCGCGGAAGGCAAGGGCTGCGAGTACAAAGAGCACGGAGCATGCTACGCGTCGTCTCGAGCGCATGCCCGGGGATAGGGAGGGGGGGCCCGCATCTAGCAGCCGCGCGTAGCCGCGACGTGCAGCGGTGTGTTGCCGAGCCCGTCCGCCTCGGCCGCGCTTGCGCCCGCGGCGAGCGCGGCGGCGGCGGCGGCGGCGGATCCCTCGCGGCAGGCCTCGAGCAGCAGCGACTGCGCGTCCTCCGCCGTCGCCACCGGGAAGGGAGGCAGGAGGGGGCCCGCCGCCGGCGCCGGCGCGCAGGCCGCGCGACGCGCCTCGAGGAGCGACTCCAGCTCCGCCGCACGGCACGCCCGGTCCGCGCGCGAGTAGATGTAGAGGGAGGCGCAGCCGGCCGCCACCGCGCCGCGCCGCCAGTGCGTCTCGAAGTGGCGGCGGCGGGACGAGAAGGGCGAGAGGAGGGCGAGGCAGAGCAGCTCTAGCACGAGCAGCAGCTGCAGCAATAGCCAGCGTGCGCACGCGGGCCGCGCCGTCACGGCGGCGGCGCCAAACAGCGGGCGGCACGGCGCGGAGTCAAAGATCTCGGCTCGGACGCGGCGGCGGAGGAGGCGGAGCAGGGCCGCGTCGGAGGCGGAGCCGTCAAAGCAGCCGTCGCCGACGGCAAAGCTGGCGTCGCGGAGGGCCTCCCACACCAGGGCGCCGCCGCCGCTGAAGACGTGGACGACGAGCGGCGTGCAGGGAGGGAGAGAGGCTAGGAGAGCCGCCGCAGCTCGGAGCATCGCGAGCCCCGTCGCGAGAAGCCGTGGTGTCCGCATGGTGTCCAGCATGCTGGCGGTGGCGCGCACGGTGCAGGCCCCACCGTCGTGGTACAACATCGAATACTCTTTCAGCTGCGAGTGAGTGGCGCCGAGCCAGCCGAAGAGCATCACCACGGCCGACGGAGCGGAGGAGTCGCAACGAGTGACTCGCACATCGCACATCTTTTGCTGCCTGCCGCAGCTGCAGCAGCAGCAAGCAGCTCTGCTACGGCCGCCGGGGCTGAACTACGTTAGCGTTTTATTTCTCAACTAGTGTGGGACCTGCGGCGGTACCCGTCTCTGTTGTTCGGGCAGTGAGTCAGTCACGTCAGTCAAAGCAGTCGTGGCACGTGGAGCAGTCGCTGCATGCAACGGCGCCGCCACACGCTCCGGACGACCCCGACAACCGACACACCACGCACAATGGGAGGCTATCGCGCACGATCGGGCATCGCGCCGCAAACAACTCGCCGCACAGATGGGGGGGGAGGCAGAATCCCACACACACCGGAGCAGCACAGACACCTTACACGTCAGCGCTCGCTCGATGTGGCCGGCGCTCTCCCCTCTTCTATCGCCTTTTCAACGGCGGCGTGCGGCCACGCGCCGCGCCGAGCCGGTCTCGGCGGGAGACCTCGGAGCCGCACGCGATGCGGGCATGCGCGATGGCTCCGTTGGCTCCGTGCCTAAGGCAGATCGATTAGGGTGTGAGCTGCGGCAGCCACCGTTTCTGTACCCGCTCGATCACGTGCAGGCCGTCGGAGGCCGCGCTGGATGGCCCAGGGCCGGCGGCGGTGAAGGCGTCCGTCGATGAAGGGATGTCGTCGAGGGAGCCATCGTCCTACGCAAACGGTGCACCGGTCCAGTTGTCGGAGTTCGAGATCGCAGTCGACTTGGAGAGTGTGTTCGGCCCGTTGACGAACTCACGGAATGTGAGCGACTTGGTGCACGCTGGGTCGAGCATCATGACTCGCACCTCATCCTGGGCGAGGAACTCGCCCAGGGACCAGCTGTTGGCGTCGCCGTTTTGATCGAGCTGCATCCACTGCATGGTTTCGTAGTCAAGCGTAAACGCCCAGGAGTTGGTGCCTGGGTGACTTGCTGATGAGAGCGCCTTCCAGGCGGGTAGTCGTGCCCCTCACCTACGGTCATACGGCGGCGTCAGAGGGGGGGAAGGGGCGCGAAGCGTGAACATGGAGGCAAGCAGGTTGGTTTCTGCACCTGGCCAAAGCCGGCGACCTCGAAGTTGTCGTAGCTTGTGCGGGTATCGCTGAGCGTGAGAGGGACCGGATCGGCAGCAGCATGGGCGGCCGCGTCAGCGGCCGGAGAGGCCGGAGAGCCATCCGACGGAGGCCGGTCGTGCATCGGCGCGTCAGCCGCAGGGGCCGGGGGGGCGGCGGCATCCATCGCTGCGGGTCGCTGCGGGCCGACGATTGTGGACTGATCGATCGTGGCGGGCGGATTTCGGCTGGGACGTTCTACGGTTAAACCAAGAACGTCGGCGCGGACACGAGAGACTTATAAGGGTAGAAGTATGTTGGACGGATGTTGTTTCGCTGCAGAGAAGTCGGTTGAGCTCTCCGCCCGCGCAATTTCCTCTTTTTCTGTCATCACCAGGACGAGTCTCGTGGGCGCCACCCGCTCCTCCGCTGCAACCATGGGCGCCGTGGCGGACGCCTTCAAGCTCCTCTTCGCGTGCGCCGGCATCTTCGCCAGCTTCTCCTACTTTGCCGTCCTGCAGGAGGACGTCTACAAGAAGGAGTACGGCGGCTCGGACAAGGTCAAGGGCGAGAAGTTTGCCTTCACCTTCCTCGCGCTGACGGCCGAGCGCGGCATCAACGCCGCCATCGCGCTGCTGGGGATGGCGGTGCTCGGCGGCTCGGGCATCAAGATCCCGCACAAGGAGATCTTCAACTCGGGCATCTCGCAGATGCTCGCGATGGCCGCCTCGAACGAGGCGCTGCGGTACGTCTCCTTTCCGACGCAGGTGCTGGGCAAGTCGTGCAAGATGGTGCCGGTGATGGCGGGCGGCATCCTGCTGGGCGGCAAGTCGTACGACCTCGTCAAGTACCTGCAGGTCGCGCTCATCACGCTCGGCGTCACCGTCTTCAACTTTGGAGGCAAGAAGAAGGGCGGCGGCGAGGACTCGGCGTACGGCCTGTGGCTCATCGCGGCGTCGCTGGTGATGGACGCGGTGACGGGCGGGCTGCAGGACAGGGTCAAGGCGTCGACCAAGGCGCTCAACCCCTCCGACCCCAAGGCCAAGCCCACCATGCACGAGTCCATGTTTTGGACAAACGCGTCGGGCTGCTTGGTTGCCGCGGCGCTCGGCCTAGCGACAGGTGCGCCACCACTCGGCACCATTAGCGTTTACCGCCGTACCTGCCACCACTCGCCGCCGCTCGCCGCCGCTCGCCGCCGCTTCCGCCGCCGCCCCGCCGCCGGCAGCAGCGACTGCGGAACGCCGGCCGGTGACGGGGCGGCGTGTGGGCTGCTATATGTGTGTGTGTATCTGCTAGGCCACCTGACGGAGGGGTTCGCCTTCTGCAGCCGGCACCCGGAGGTGCTGCAGGCGGTGCTCATCTACTCGCTCGCCTCCGCCGTCGGCCAGAACTTCATCTACTACACCATCACGCAGTTCGGGCCGCTGCTGCTGTCCACGGTCACGGCGTAGTTGGGAGAGAGAGAGAGGGAGAGGGAGAGAGAGCCGCGACGGCCACGGAGTAGGCGGGAGAGAGCCGAGGCGGGAGAGAGCCGAGGCGTGGTCGAGGTCGAGAGCGGCGAGAGAGCAGAGAGAGAGAGAGGGGGGGAGGGGGGAGAGAGAGAGAGAGAGAGAGAGAGAGAGAGCCGTCACACACACACACACACACACACGCACACGCACACACACACAGCCGAGACATGGCCTTCGAGCGAGCCTCGCCCTCTCTCTTCCAGGTCACGACGACGCGCAAGATCTTCTCGACCGTCTACTCGGTGCTGCGAGAGACAGCCGAGATGCAGTCGAGATGCAGCCGAGATGCAGCCGAGATGCAGCCGCGACAGCTGGTCGGGAGGATCGCCGCGCGCTGCTGTGCGATCTCTCGGACCGGAGACGCGTCCACGCGACGTCCGCGACACATTCGCACCCCGCCAGTCCCTCCTTCCTGTTTGACGAGTCGCACCCCTCCCACCCCAGGTGCTGCGCAATCCGTCCAACTCGCTCGACGAGATGCAGTGGGTTGGCTGCTACCCTCGCCCTCCCCGCCCTCCCCGGACCCTTCTCGGACCCGTCCTCGGACCCTCCCTGCAGGCCGGCTGCACCCTCGTCTTCGTGGGTCTTGCCGTCGAGCTGCTCGAGAAGGCGCCTCCCGCCTCCCTCCTCCCTTGGCGCCTCTCCCTCTCTCTCTCTCTTCTCCGTCTCGCCTCTCCTCGCTTGCCGCCTCTCCCCTCCCTTGCCGCCTCCCTCTCTCTCTCTCCTCTCGGCCCGCCGCTGCGAATGCGACCCACTCTCCGGTCTCCGCCCCCGTCGCCACAGGCGCTCCCCTCCAAGAAGCCGGCCAAGGACCCGAAGAAGCTCTGAGACGGCGGAAAGAGGCGGCCTCGGGAGAGGAGGGCGCCGGTCGCGCCCGCTCGCTCTGCCCGCCACCGCTTCGCGCAACGCCAGACCTCGCTCAGAACCGCATGCCCGCTGCCTCCTCACACCCGGCCTCTCGAGACATCCGGCGAGGCTGCACATGCGCGCCGCCTCCTTCCGATGGCCTTAACGGTCGAGTGTGTGCAAGTATTAGTGGTCCGCAGAGTGGGCCGCCCTCGGATTCTTTAAGTTTTCGGTACGAACACGAACAGGGACGGACGCGCGGGACGGGGACGGTGCACAATATATATCTTGTATATGTATGAAAGAAAGAAAGAAAGAAAACGCACGCAGCGGCCCTACCATGTTCAAACTCCGCACTTTAATTCGAACTTTCTCGCCTCGGCTCGTGGGGCTCGGGAGTAGTCAAGCAGGTGTGCGGGGTGGGCGGGAGGGGGCCTGGGAGCATTTTTTTGCATTTCCGAGGCGAGCGTGGGCCGTGGTGGGCCCCTCCGGGCCTCTCTCAGCAGCACGGAAAGTAGCGCGCGACAGAGCGCTGTTCTCGGCCCCCTGAGCGTATTGGGACGAGCCAGACTAGCATGCACATCGCCTTGGCACGTAGGACGCACGACTTACCCACGCACACCCCGGTGACAATCTTGGAAATCTCCCGACAATCTCCCCAAATCTCCTCCCGCTCTCGCGAGTAGCGCGGCGCAGCGGGGCGCGTTGATGTCGATGAATGCAGTGTGGACTCCTTTTCGACACTCTCTAGCACCGGTGAACACACAGGCGTTGCTTCCGAGGTGGTAAAAATCTGTGAATGCCCGCCGAAGTTGTCGCGGTTTTCCGACTTGTCTCGTGCTCGAGCCATGCCGAAAAGAGCGGGCGCAGGCCTGGGACAGCGTCGCAAAAGCGGCCAAGGAGTCCGTCCCGGCTCCAGGCCAGGACCAGATCGCCGCTCGGTACCGCCAGTTTGCGACTCTGTGCCTGCGCAGTCGTCGCTATCTCACGCTTCCGATCTCGTCACAACAGGCGCCCTCGCCGAGTGCAACGTCCTCGCGGCCGCAAAGCCGTGCTGGCTCGCGCAGAGTCGGCGTCGCAAAGAACCTGAGAGCGCCGCGGCATGCTACGGTTGGCGACGTCCTCGGCGAGGCCATGGAGCTGCATAGCACGAGCGACGAGGGCCGCCGCGACGGGATCTACAACCAGAGAGAGCACGGACGCCGAGGATCGCTCTCCCGTGCAGCGCCGCAGCGGCTCGTCGGCGGCTCGTCGGCTGCGGCCTCGAACGGAGATCGCATGGAGGTTGACGAGGAACCTCCCTCTCTGAGCAGTGCTCCAGCGGAGCCTGCGCAGCAGCAGCAGCAGCAGCAAGCAAGCGTGCTCACGCTGGTGGCAGACATCGGACGCCTCGAGCTGGAGGAGGTTGGCCACCGTGCCGCCGCTCGCGAAGCGATTACAGCGACAACCGGGACGCAAACATCAGGCGTGCCGACGCCTCGCGAGCTGCGTGCCCAAGCCCGGCTCGACTTGCAAGTCGTAGGGCTGCGCGAGGAGGAGCGGCGGCGGCAGCGGCTGCACGCGGCGGCAACGACGAGGCTCGTTCGAGAACTGGCGCTGAAGCTCTCGAACCCGCTGCGACACTTTGGCGGGGGTGCATTCATTCAGTTGATGATGTGCGAATTCGTCATGCGGCCAGAGGTACAGGGCCGCTCCGGCCGCTCCCTCGGCGTAGCGTTTCGCTCGCAGCTGCTGCTGGTGTACGAGCCCAGCGACGTGCCGACGCTCCCGGGCCTCTACAGCCTCGACGTCTTGCAGGCGTCGCTCAACACTCCGCTGTTGCAGCGGGCCGCCCTGCAGGCGATCGACGACGTGAAGCTCTTCTCGCTCCACCTGCCCGGCGTGCTCGGCAAGGTGGAGCCGACAGAGGCCGACTCGCTCCTCGGCCTGTGGCAGCGCGCGGCGGAGGTGCGGGCAGCGGAGGCGCGCCGGCCGCAGCGCGGCCGGCCACGCCATCGCATCGAGTTCGCGCTGCGTCAAAACATGACGGGTAATCGTTACTCGGCCGCCCTGCGCAAGGCCGTGTACTTGTACCGCCACAAAAGCGGTACGGAGCGCTCAATCTCGATGCGCGGCGCTGCGTCGCTCGCTCGGGATGGCGCCACGCTCCTGTTCGACATCTCGGACGACGATATCGCACGCGTGCATAACATCATTGTGCATAACATGCAGGACCTCTCACCGTGGGCCGACAGCCAGGACGTGCAGGCGAGGGCGCCGATCTCGGGGATGACGATTCGCGCCGGATCGCTCTTCAACCGCTTCAAATCGGGAGCCCCCACCGGGTGGGTGGCGAAGCTGTTCGCGGGCGAGGCACCGACGGAGCGCAAGCTGGTCATGCAGCGCTTTACCGACGGCAGCGAGTTTGGCGGGCACTGGCACCAGCTCCTCTTCTTCGTCGACCAGAGACGGGTGCTCTACCACGAGCCCTATGGCGGCGCAATCGACTCGGGCATCGCGTCTTGCTTCCACCGGAGCCCCGGGCCTGCCGCCGGCTGGGCGCTGGAGGTGGTGGATGTGCAGCTGCAGTCTTGCACTCACGAGTGCGCGCTCTGGGTGGACTTTGTCGCGGAGGTGGCTGTCGACTACGTGAGGAGCGACCTGACTCGCTCCTTCAGCGAGTACCTTCGCGGGTGCGCTCTCCCTGTGTGTGTGTGTGCATGCCTGCGATAAGGCTGACCGGTGTCGCGCCGCCCCCGCAGGCGTGAGGAGATCACCCCGCTCAACGGCATGCGGCGGACTTGCACGGCGATGAAGACGGCGAAGGCAAAAAACAACGCCTTCGTCGCACAGCGCCGAAACGACGTGCGCACGCTGTTACGTCTAGCCTATGTCCAGCGCCAACTGCCGCACACAGGCTCCGCAACGCTGACCGCCTTTGGCGCAGCGGCGGAGCAGGAGCCTGCCGAGGACACAGACTCGGACTTTGAGATGTTGACCTAGACCGACGTGTGATTCAGATAGTTGTCTTCAGATGTGTGTGTGATTCAGATGTGTGTGCGTGTGATTTTCGGCACGGGTATAGATTAGAAGGAACGTATCGTCACACACACCCTCTTTGAGAGAGGGACACAGCGTGGTGCCACAGTAGCGGGCGCTTCTACAGAGGCAACCGGTCCGAGGGCGAGCGTTTCGCTCGCCCTGATGCGCATGAGCGACGTGGAAGCTCTCGACCGGCGCAGATGCCACGGGCGACACCAATCCCAGCCTCAAAAGGCGAGGAGGGCTGGTGGAGTGCCCAGACGGCAGTGGCTTCCGAAGAACTTTTTGCGGGTGACGCAAAGGATCCGAGGAGAGAGCACCTCGGCTGCCGGCGAGGCATCCGCCCCGCGCCCACACATCTGATGGAAAGTGCGATGAAGCGGTGGCGGCAGGCTAGCCACCGGTGGGGCACACGGAGCGATATGGCGTTCGGCTGCGATTTGAGTGCAACCGGGTGACGCATCTCCTCCACAGAGACGCGGGGACGGCGTGCCTGCGAGGCGCCCGATATGCGCCAACGGACCCAATGGAAAGTGCGAAGCGAGCACTCGACGGCTCGCAGCCTGTGGACGGAGCACGAGAGCTCGAACCTCGCACTCGCGTGCAAAATCGGCACCTCGGAGCGCCATTTTCACACCGCATTCGAGCCCATGAAAACAACAATGTACCCCAAGCAGCACGATCACGCCTCGCACCGGTGCGGTGGTGCCGGGCGGCTCTAGGGGGTCAGGCTGGCTGCATGGCACCACCCGTAGCCCGTTTTGCTGCCCTGGCATCACCCGGAGGGGGGATTGAACATAGTAAGCGGCCAAGGGAGGGATGGGAGGACGGCACGCCGCCACCACACAGGGATTTTAAGGAGAGGTGTGTGATGCGCTAGCCGTCGCCCACCCTGTATATGGGTTATGGCCAGCACTCGCTTTTTTTTTCGCGCTCCACCTCCAGCCCTGCGGGTCTTCAGTAGTACTGGAGCACTTGGAGCACTTGGAGTGCAGTCGGTAACCTCACATCCAGGGCCGGTGAGCTGAGAAGCGCATCCAGCGGGCCGGATGATCGGGATCGGGCTACGGGCTAGAGAGCCCTGACCCCTAGCTAGGGGGGTGCGCATTCGCAGGGCAAGGGCCTTAAAGTAAACACGGGTCTCCGAGGGTTAGTTCTGCGCTTTGGGTGTCCCCTAGCGGCGGAACGCCCCCTCTACTCGGAGCTAGTAAACACCAGACACTAGACACGAGCATGACGTACACTCTCACCCGACATCGCCACTCAGGGCTCCTCCGCCCGATCTCCCCACCCCCCATCCGAGGGGGCTCCCCTCTCCTCCCGGTCCTCCCTCCTGTTCGATTTCCGATGGTTCGGCGTCGGCTGCGGAGCCCGCCTTCCCCTCTTATACTTCTTCGACCGCGTCACTCGCCGCCGTCTCGTCTTCGGG